GCATCTGTGCTGTTTACACAGAACAGAAACAGGGAGCAACACTAGCACCTTCACCTCCACTCAGTCTCATCCAAAACCCTTTGGGGCCTTTTACTTCCACAATTTAAAAATCAATTTCCAGGGCTGGAGGTGTAGCTCAGTGGTAGAGAGCATGCCCAGCATGTACAAGGCCAATTCCCAGCACTACAAAACTATACAATAAAATAAAAATCATTTTCTCTCTTTAAAAAAATAAAACCTGTTTTCAGAAATGCACTCATGTGTTCAGAACCAGGGAGGTGAATTTCTTTAATGCATTGCACATCAGAAACAAACAAAAACTATTCAAATGAAGACGAGGAAGAAAAGGATGCAAATATACTGAGGATCTTTTTATAGCACTGGAGTGTGAGAATGTTAATTAAGGAACCTCATAATTGGAGAGGATCTGAGAAAAGAAGGAGCAAAGGTTTAATTTTAGGTGTTGCTTCATCAACTTAAAAAAATAATGAGTCCCTTCACTGACGTGTAGTTATTCTCAGGAGCTCTTTGGGCCCCGAAACACACGTGTTGAAGCTGCAAAGAGCAGGGCCCTCACGTGATGAAAATCTCTGGCTTTGGGAAAGGACCTGTTAATGAGGAAGCGCACAAATGGGCAATCTTGGGGCTTGGAATGAGCACGGCAGGACGATGGGTATCACTTCACTTCTCGGTGTTCTGTTGAGAGCATACTCGTCCGTTTTTCAAACCAGAGGTCAAGAACTTAGCAGTTCCAAAGCCCAGTCCAAAACCCAGGGCCCCAAACCCAGTCTCATCCTGGGTTTCAGGAGCTGCCAAGTGACTTTCCGGTGAACAACCATCCAACTATACAAGCGTTTCCACCCTTCCTGGGGTCCCCATTCTGCTGGTGACATGCAAAGTCTGTAGTCTCTTCACGCACCACTGAGAACCATTTCTATTTATATTCTATCATAATCATTAATGCAGATTAATTGCACAAATTAATGAGTCTCACTGTGACACTTCCATACACACAGCTTATGTACTTTGATCACGTCCCTCCATCCTACCCTCTCCTGCTCTCTCCTCTCCCCACTTCCTGCTAGTTCCCTTCCCCTCCCTTAAAACTCCCTCTTCTACTTCCAATTGTTTATTTCCACAGATGAGAATAAACACTTGATACTTGCCTTTCTGCATTTGCCTTACTTCATTTAACATGATGTTCTCCAGTTCCATCTATTTTACTGCAAATGACAGAATTTCATTCTTATTTATGGCTGAAAATACTCCATATATATCCCGTATTTCCTTTATCCATTCATCAGCTGAAGGCACCTAGATCTTGGCTACTGTGTGTAGAACTCTACAGATGCAAGGTCTGCGTTGCAGGATGGTTAAGCACTATCACTCAGCTAGTGAGTAGGGAAGCTGAGTCTTGAACTCATCTGTCTGGTTCCCAGGTCAAGTTGTTCACACTGTGCCAGCAAAGAGCAATACGTAGAAGCATAAAGTGGGCATCAAGTGGGCCCAAGGGAATCCACCCAAACAGACAGGGATGGGCACACCCAGTTCTCATTCTGGACTCTGCTCTGAAGCCCTGCCGTGTCCCAAGCCCTGGTGGCTGCAGGAGTGACCCTGATTAGTTCATACCCAGAGCCGTCACATCCTGGGATGCAGGCCACAGAAATCCACCCAATCTAACAAAGCAATGGGAACTTCTTGAAAGTATATCTAGGGGGTCACAGAGTTGGTAAGAAAGCTGGACTGCCTACCGGGAAGGAGACAGGCCCAGAGACTGGTGAAATGAAATGAAATGATCTTTTGTCAGAACAGATTGGTCAGGGGTCTCTTTGTCTCTCTGTTCTGACCGCCCAGCTTCAGCCAGAGAGTGCCCACTGGGGAAAAGATAATTTGGGGCACTCTGAATGGTGTGCCCTCAGATCACGCGAACACCAGAATTGCAGACAAATCCCAGCAGGAAGCCCCTCTGAACTCTCTGCACTTAGCTCCACCCCATGCTCAGCAGATTCTTGCTACAATTAACACTGTACTGCATCTTCCCCAGCTGCACTGGAAGATCTGTAATGACAGGATTTGGAGCTTTGATGTTTCGGTTTCCAACACCACATGATGCAAAGCAGCACTTTCCAATACAACTCTTGCTTATCCTGAACCTAAAATATCTTCATGTGCCAAATAATGACATTTCAGTCGATGACAGACCATATATATGATGTGGTCCCATAAGATCTGATTGCCTGGTGACATCATAGCCATCTCAGGACAGCCTGGGATGTTTCCACAGCAATGAAACTACAAAAAGATACACTTCTCAGAACTGACTCTATCATTAAGAGATACACAGTCATGGAGACTTCCTTTGAAAAATGAATTCAGACTTTTAGTGCAATGAGGTTAAATGCGTGGCACCCACCAAGTATGCAAGTCATACTTGCAAGGTACTAGAAGTTGACCAAGGGACAGAAAGATAAGTATGTTAAGGACATGGGCTTTTAACAAAAGCCAAAATCTATACTAAGAACAGGTCTCCTATTAAAACTTCAGACCTCAGATTGTATTACAGAGGCATTTTCAAGGAGGAATTATCCCTGTGTCCCTAATATCCTTCAGTGGTCCCCCAGACCTAAAGCCCCTTTGAATGGAGAAGAGTTTGCTCTGTTTCCTGCCCTCTTAAACTTTTCACTTTACTTACTCACTCTCTAGCATTTCTGTATTTTTCCTTCCTGAAGATCATTCCCTTCACCTAAGTGTTGAGCTCTGGCTTCCATGCTGAATAAAATAACAAACCACTCTTTACTCCACACCCTCTCCAGTTAGCATTCGTTTTTTGCTGCTCCCCTCTGCAACGAAACTCTTTCTTACCTCCATATCATTCTTTAACCCACTTCCTTTGGGCATTTATTCTCACCTCACCAATTTTTCTTGCCAAGATCAGGAAATGGTTTCCATGCTGCCAAAACCACTGCGTGCCTCTGCACATGTGGTAGCAAACTTGCAGTGGTGGCATTCAATGCTCTTGATCATCCCCTCCTGTTTGAAAAAGACGCAGAAACCTACACTCCCCCAATGACCTCCGCCTCACCAGCTGTCTCCTAGTCTGCATGGATGATTTCTCCACTAAACCTCTGCGTGCTGGAGAGCTTCATGGGTGCTTCTGACCCTTGACCCAGTCACCCCCTGATTCAATCACCTACCAAACACTTCAGACTTTGGGGAGACGTTTTAGATCTAAATCATAACAACTGTCCATTGATTCTGTTTCCCTATGGGGGCTTCATCTTGTCCCATGCCTTTATCATAATTTACATGCTAATGACTACAAAAGGCATAGCTCCATCCCTACCTCTTCCCTACACCTGCAGATTTCTATATCCATCAGATTTTAAAGGCCCATTATTAAACATCTATTAAACATCTCTCAGAAATAGAGCTCTTTGGTCACCACACACACACATACTTCTTCCTCCCCAGCTTCCCTCATCTCAATAAATGTCACTCCCATCTACCCAGATGCTCAAGTTAAAGCTCTCCTTGACCCTCACCTTCCATATCCAAATCATCAGTGAGTCCATCTTACTGATTGACAATACCACTGTATTAGTCAATTTCCCATTACTGGACACAGTACCTGACATCCACAACTTACAGGAGGATCGTGTTTTAAGTAGACTCAGTCCACGGTCAGCTGACTATAAGGCTGCACTTCCTAACAGCACATGAAGTACTGAACTCGTCTGCTGATGAATATAGCACCCCCATGATCCCAGTAGCGTTTCTCCACCTCTATCTCCACCACCACCTTCACCAATCCATCACTCGCCATGCCCACTGAAGAGCTTCTCCTTCCACCTCTCCTCACCATTCTGCCTACTACCCAATGTTCCTGCAAAACACAAACTAGGTATTTTCCCTTGACTTTTCAATGCCTTTCCCACTGAACTTTCTACCACATCCTCAAGTTCCTGAAATGTCTGTCTCCCTTCAGTCTTTCCATGTTTTTTTCAACATGGTCTTTCTTGTTCTCTGCACTTCAGCAAACCCACCTGCCCTATGCCCTTCTGATTTCCGATACTGTTTTTCATACCAGGGCCTCTGTCCATACTCTGTTGCCCTAAAATTCTCTTTTCCCAGTCCCAGGTGGTTGACTTATTCTCCTCCTTCCAGGTTTAACTCTTGATGAGCACTTTCCTTCTTTCCTTCCTTCCTTCCTTCTTTCCTTCCTTCCCTTGTTCATTCTAGGAAAGAAACCAGGGCCGCACACATGTTAGACAAATGCTGTACCACTGACCTGCACCCCAAGTCAAGACTCAGCATAAACATCTCCATAGAAACGTCTTTCCTGAACACTGACCCATCAGCCTATCAAAAATGGCATCTCCCAGTTCCTAGTTGGAGCAAACATTTATCCAGGACTTCCCAGGTGTCATTATTCGTGTTTTACATTAACTGTTTTAATTCCTCAGGACCCCATGAGGTGGGCACTGTTGTTCATTTTATCATACTCATCTTAAAAACAAGGAAACTGAGTACAGGAGAGAGTGACTTTCAAGGTCAAACAGTTAAGGGGTGGTCTCCGAATTTAACCCTGTGCATCCCAGCTCCTGCCTGATGTCTCCACCCCACATTACCTGCCTCTCTCACGTTACAGGTTTTCTTTTTGCCCTTTTTACAATCTACATATTGTATAGTTCTTTCTGTATTGTCAGCCTCCTCGTTAGACTATAAGCAACATGTGGGAAAAAAGACTTTTTTCCATCACAAGATCCTCAATGCTTGTCACATGGTAGGTGTTCAATAAATGTCTGCTGCATGAATGAATGAAGGAATGAATGAATGAAGAGCAGGTGGAGAGCTGGAAACTGAAACACTTATATCAGTGGCTGCTCTTATTTTACCCCCACCCCGTGTTGTTCCCATCTGTGCAACCACAGATAATATGAGCAAAGCATTTTGTTTCAGATGACTGAATAATGATATCCACATTTTCTATGTTTTTTCAGAGCAGGTTTACTATGCTGGCCCAGTCAATAATCCTGGATTTGAAATTTTTAAGGTAAAGTTTTGGTTTTTTGTTTTATCTTGTTCCTGAATTAATGTATTATACAGTACAATTCTTGAAGAAGGAGGACAGAAATAAAAGGAGAGGTAGGAGGATCAAGATCAACAGAGTTGCCTAAATACTCTTAGCTCTTACACCAGAACATGTATATCTATCTCATAATCCATTGTGCAGAACCCTTTTCTTCTAGTCTACATCTCCTCTTAGGCTCACAAAACAATAATGAAAAGTTCATTTCATTTTCAACAATTTCATACATGCACATAGAGTTAAAAGAAAAATGATGTGAAAATGGCCATACTTCCAAAACTGCTACACAGATTCAATGCAATCCCGATTGAAATCCCAACAGCATATTTCACAGAATTAGAGAAAACAATCCAAAAATTCATCTGGAACCAGAGGAGACCTAGAGTAGCAAAAGAAATTCTAGGCAATAGAGTCATGGCAGTGGGTATCACAATTCCCAACTTGCAACTGTACTACAAAGCTACTGTGATAAAAACAGCATGGTACTGGCAAAGAAACAGATCCAAGGATCAGTGAAATAGATTAGAAGATCCAGAAACAACTCCAGACGTACTCAGCTACCTCATCTTTGACAAAGGAGCCAACCAACCATCCTCACTGGAGGAAAAATAGCCTCTTTAATAAATGGTGTTGGAAAAACTGGATTTCAACTTGCCAAAGATTAAAACTAGACCCCTATCTGTCACCATGCATTAAACTAAAATTGAAGTGGATTAAAGATCTAAATATTACAATAGAAACACTAAACTTGCTGGAAGATAAGTTAGGTAGAACTCTCAAAAACATTGGCATAGGAAAAGACTTTATGTACAAATCCTCAGTAGCGTGGGAACTAGCACAAAGAATCAACAACTGGGATATCATTTATTAAAAAGCTTCTGCACTGCAAGAGAAACCACCAACAGAGCTAAAAGACAACCTATAATGTGGGGAAAAAAATTTAACAGCTGTTCCTCAGACAAAGATCTACTATATAGAATATATAAAGAACTAAAAAAATCAGACCCCCCAAATATAAAGACCCAATTCAAAAATGGCCATCTGAAATGAACAGACATTTCTCAGGCAAAGAAGTAGAAATAGCAAATAAATACATGAAAAAATGTTCAGTATCACTGGTCATTCAAGAGATGCAGATGAAAACAATGCTGAGATTCCACCTCACTCCAGAAAGAATGGCTGCTATCAAGAAATCAACCAATGACAAA